TCCCTTGCGAGTCAGGCTATTTGTCAGTCGATGTAGCAGCACTCCGTTGCGAGTCAGGCTATTTGTCAGTCGATGTAGCAGCACTCCGTTGCGAGTCAGGCTATAAGATAGTCGATGTAGCAACATTTACGCATGCTTTAAAAATGTTTTTTAATAAAACAAAAACACTACAAATTAAAAAAAACTTTCTAGTCGTTATTATTGCGGTTTTTTAAAAAATTTTTAAAAAACAATAAAATTTAATGTACTTCCGCATTAATTTAATTGCTTTGACATTTCGACGACAATCAAATACAGCTTAAGGGTAACCCTGACAGGTAATTAAAATTGTAGTCGTAAGAGACTTTTTTTACATTAAACGACTCTTTCGACTACACTATAAGGATATATATATATATATATATATATATATATATATATATATATATATATATATATATATATATATATATATATATATATATATATATATATATATATATATATTGCCAGTTTTACCTTTGGAGGAGTGGAGGAACATCATGAAATTAGTGTTTTTTTACTTATTGATCACAGCTCTGTTCTTTAAAAACAGAGCAGTAATACAACTAAAATACAAGTTATACAACTGACCACTCTTCTATAGAAATTCTACATAAAGAGAGACCAATTTTTTTAAAGAACAGTGCGTTAATCAATTAATAAAGAAATACTTATCTTAAACACTATTTTACTACACCTTTTCAAGATGTAAATGAAAACATGAAAGTTGTAATTAAGAAGTCGTAATATGTAATTAAGAAACACAACATGTAATTGAGAAAACGTTATATGTAATTGAGAAACACAACATGTAAATAAGAAGTCGTAACATGTAATTAAGAAACACAACATGTAATTGAGAAAACGTAAGATATAATTGAGAAATTATAATATGTAATTGAGAAATCGTAACTTGTAATTAAGAACACATAAATTAAAATAGCAAATTCACAGTCTTAGTTTGTAGGTTGTTACAAAAGGTCTTTTTGGACATGAATTTAAATTATAATCTTAAATTTTGCTTTTGTATGCACAAGTAATAATAATGGAATTGAAAGATCGTTGTGTTATATGCCAATACACTGACCCGAAAGTCTGTGATTAAGCTAAATCCGTGTCAACATTTATGTCACCAAATTTGTTTACGTCCAGTTCTGGAACAACCAGAATTAAGTTGTCCAATTTGTCGGCATGAAATACACACAACTGAACAAGTTGAAAGGAAACGTTACGTTTTATCTTCTCCAAATGACAGGAGAAGAGTTGTTGAATGTGCGGAGCGATTTGAAGATTGGGTGAATCTCGCGCAAACGCTAGGTATCAAATATAAGATAGCATACAATTGGGTTCGCAGCGGAAATTCAAATTTCATCGGAAAAGGAGGTTTTAAACCGAAAAAGTTGACCGAAGATCAAATCGAAGAAACATTAACATGGATTGAAAATGATTGTCAATTAACATTGGTGGCCATCAAAGCAAAGATATTAAGACAATTTAACATAAACGTTAGCACAACAACAATAGCAAATTACCTCGAAGGCAGATTGTTCTCATTAAAAAAAAGTGCACAAGGAGCTTTCTACAATGAACAGTTATGAAAACAAACAAAAAAGAGCTGAATATGTTAGAAACATCAACGAACATATCACAAATGGTCGTCAGATAGTTTGGTTGGATGAAACAAATTTTAACCTTTTTTGTAGAAAAACGCAAGGACGCGCGAGACAAGAAAAAAGAGCAATTATGAAAGTACCTGCTTCAAAAGGTTTAAACATACACTTGATCGCAGCTATTTCAACTACAAATGTCGTCATGATAGAAACTTGCAGGGGATCATTTAAAGCAGATTCCTGTAACGAGTGGATGTTGGCTATGTTTTACCAGTGGGGTACATCCGGGAATCGTTTGGAGTATTTGGTCGTCGTAACAGATAATGCTCACGCTCGTTTGCAAAGGGTGTTTGATAATTCACCAGCTCAGTTGTCACGTTTGGGACCTTACAGTCCAATGTTGAACCCGGTGGAAACGATCTGGTCCAAAATTAAAATAACGTTAAAAATGCAATTCGCATTCCACCTGTATTAGGTGACGGGATTGCGGAACAGCGCATGCAGTACTTAGAACGAATTGTAATTGAGGCGAAAAATACTATAATGGGAGGAGATTGTGCACGTGCGGTACAACACACAACCACGCACTATGCAACTATTTTAAATATGGAAGACGTACAAGTTGGTGCTTAAATGACCAATGAAGTGATTTTTAATTATATAATTTTTAATTATAATTTTTAATTGAATTATAAATTTTTCCCTAAAATGTTTTTAGTGTTTATTATGTTAAATTCATTTGCCCAAAAATTATAAATTTTTCCCTAAAAAATTAAATTTACGCTACAAATCTTGCGTCATTTTTAAGTGCGTCATTTTATACGCTCCATTTTTTTACGCGCCATTTTTTTTAAGCGCTATTTTACACTTACTCCTGTAAAGCGATATCTAAATTAAATTTTCGTGTTCTCAATTACATCTTTCTATTTCTATTACATGTTACGATTCTTAATTACAATTTTCGTTTTCTAAATTACATCTTATGTTTCTTAATTACAACTTACGTTTTCTCAATTACATCTTACGTTTCTTAATTACAACTTTTGTTTTCTCAATTACATCTTACGATTCTTAATTACAATTTTTATTTTCTCAATTACATCTTGAAAAGGTGTAGAATGCACTACATTTACATCCAATTTAAAAACAATTTACATTTTAAACAATCTTTTACCAACACAAAAATATTTAAGATTTGAACAATAAATAGTATGGTTTGTTATGAATTCATTGTATTATATGATAATTCATAGCATGTTATGAACTCATGATCTATATTTGAAAAAGTAATAATTGCTTAAAAAACTTTCTTGTCGGGCTTTTTAAGTCTAGAAGTCACTGCTATATTATAAAACAACGTTTTAAAATTATCCCGCGAGAACTGAACGACAAATTATTACGTCACCCGCAGATAAACGAAGTAAACCCGAGACTGGCCTTAAACAACCTGAGTGTATGCTTATGACTGATTTAGGAATAAACGCAGCAAAGTCTAAATACAAAGACTGACTTGAATAGGGACGGGTAAAGCAAAATTTACATACCATTGACTGACTTTGATAGGGTTAGACCTGTGTAGAGTGTACATAGATTGACTGAGGGTTTTGGTTTAGGCAGGCAGTATATAATTAAAAAAAAGGCTTTGTTTCTTTAATACTGGCGTAAAATTATAAATGTAAATTAAATAAATAAATATATAATAAATAGATAAATACATAATTTAAATTGTTATTCTAACAACAAAGCTAACAAACTAACCAAATCACTGTATTTATTACATTAAAATTGCTTCTTTACACGCGCTGCCGGCAATTAATCTCAGAATTATTTGCGGGGCACTGCCGGCAATTACGGCTAGCCTTATTTTATTAGCTTGTTTATAATGTAAACAAGCTAATAATATTAGCTTGTTTATATTATAATTAAGCTTATAATATAATACTAGCTTGTTATTATTAACAGCTTGGGGTTATATATAATATTTATATTTTATTTATATATAATAGCTTGTTATTATTAATAGCTTAGATTATTATTAATAATTATCCAAGCTAATACTATAATAAAAGATTAGATTAATTATACAATAAATAATCGAATCGGACTATTTAGAATTTCATAATTCAAGGACTCATTAAAGTTCAATTTAAATGAAGTTATAAATAGCAGCATTCTTATTTGGACTATCAATAATATAAATAACTAATTAAATTATTTTAAAACATAAAAAACAATATTTCGACAAATGTCCATCGCCTTTTGGATATTTAATGCGAACCGTTATAGCCGCCTAAAAGTACTCCCGTAAATAAGTACTCCCGGGGTACTTTTTTCCTAGGAAATTAGTACTCCGGGAGTATTTATTTCCTAGTAAATAAGTACTCCCGGGAGTATTTAATTACTAGGAAATAAGTACTCCCCTAATGATAATTAATAAATACAATTTTTAAGGCAGCGCTAAGTGTTTGCAGTGCTAATACTTTTGGCATTATTGTGATTTAAATTTGTAAATTATAGATAAAACGCCATTTGATATAAAAAATAATGATTTTAAAAAACTAATACTTTGTAAAGCATCTATTTTTAAACTAAAATTTATATTTTAATTATTTTGAACCATATATATAAAATTTTTGAAATTTTAAAAGATGTGATTTCTTTGAAATAATTTATTTAAAGGCTTAATCAAAGTATTTGATAAACATTCTTAAATGTAACGGATCTTCATAGAACCTTAATGGGTTTTTTAGGGTCGCGCAGTTGAAACAGCCATTTTTCAAAGATTCTTTCAAGAACCTCAGAGATTCAACTGAAGAACACACTTTAAAGTTAGGATCCATAAAGAACTTGAAATAGTTCTTAACAATCTTTTAAAAGTTCTTTAAGTTATTGCCAAAAGAACACCAATAAAGATTCTTCAATGAGCCTCCAAGACTTTAATACTTTTTAATCCCATAGAAGTAGAGATCTATTTTATTAATCAATACTTTTAAACTATTTACTGCTAAAATTTAACATAAAGCCGCAAAAATGAGAATGTGAAGAGTTTTTTTGTATGAACAAAAGATCTATTTTAAAAATTGAAACATTAGAAAACAGAAATAGAAAAATTGGCTATCCAAAAAATATCCAAAAAATATCAATAGATTTTCAACGACCGCAAGATGACACATAAGAACAACAAAAGAGGTATTAAAGTTTAATTAAATACCACAAAGTTAATTAAATTAAATCCTTTGTAAAAAAACCACTTTTCACAAAAAGACTATATATTGATTGAATCATCTTATAATATTACTATATATTGATTGAATCATCTTGCCGCAATATGCAATATTCAAACTTATTTAAAAACAATCTAACAATATTCAAAGATATTAAATATTATTTCAAAAACAAGATCTTCACAATATACAAATATAATAATAAAAATGTATTAACCCTATTTAAGACATAAGTATCAATAAATATCTAAGCATTGATATTTGCAAAATGATAAACAATTTCAAAATGATTCTTTAAAAACTCAAACAGTTTAACAAAACAAAACTCAAAAATCTTTTCTTTCATCTCTTAACTATTAAAATTACTAAGAAATAACCTCTTAACAAGTATGTCTTGTTTGAATTTTTTCATAATTATCTCAAATTTTATTTACTAAATACCTCTATACATAAAAAATTCTTATAAGCTAATAAAAATAAAAAAATATTGTCCTGGTGCACAACCTGTAATATAAAAAACATTTTTCAGATTTAGTATTCTGTTGATATAAATAAGTAATATAACAAACATCGATAAGCCACAACGAAATTGCAAGAGTTGCGTTTGAAGAATCATCTAAAATTAAATAATGGAATGATTATATATATAGATATATAAATATATGTATATATATATATATATATATATATATATATATATATATATATATATATATATATATATATATATATATATATATATATATATATATATATATATATATATATATATATACATATATTCATATATCTATATATACCTATTTATCTTTTTTTTAAATATATTTATTGTTATTTATTTATATATATTATATATATAAATAGATAAAGCCCTGGATATATATGGCTATATATTCGGGGCTTGAGAGCCTCAATGTGACTAGAATAATTGAAACATTGTTAAAACCTGAATTTGCTTTTAGTATTAATCAACTAATATTTAATTGGAGTATGGCTTGATAAAACAAAATTAATACCTAGAGTAGATACTAGTACGATTACTATCTATAGTTTACAAACTTATTATGTACCTAACCAAAAATAATGGTTTTGTATCAGAGTTTATCTTTTTTCTGTAGTCCAAATAAATTAAAAAATAAAGTCACGTATAAAAGAAAACTACATTTTTGACAATCAATTACCATGTTAAAGTCTGGAAGAGGTTTGTTGCAAGCTACAATTTTGTCACTCCTTGCAGACTTTTTCTAAAATTAATATATTTACACTTTTCTTTCCATTAACCATTATATTTTATTGTTATATAATATTCATTGTTCTAAAAAAAAAGTTAAGCTCAAATAATTTTACTTACCTAAAAAATTTGCACTACAAGCTAGGTTATTGTAAACAATCTTCCTTTTATAAATACCAACACTTTCCATTACTTTATATCACAAATTTCTAATGCAACATATTCTGCATTCCAATTCATACAGTCTGCCATTTAACCAATGTTTTAAATGACCTTATTATTTATCTAAATAATAAACCTTTCACAATTCACAACAACATAGAAAGAGTCATATGCTAACAAAATATTCCTTAAACAATTCTTACAACGTATAAACTAATTTAGATAGAACATGCAAGGATTAATATGCATATCGACAGATTTAGGGAGAACATGTAAGAGAATTGATAACACATCAAAGGATTTGAGTTGGGTTAAATTAGGATTAGATATCACTCATGGGTTAGGATTAGATATCACTTATGGGTTCTTATATATATATATATATATATATATATATATATATATATATATATATATATATATATATATATATATATATATATATATATATATATATATATATATATATATATATATATATATATATTTATAAAACACCTAAGTCAATAAAAAAAATACCATAATAGTTTTTCTGGTTTCTTTTGATATCTGTATTAAAAATATATATATATATATTTTTTATGGGTACTCCTATGGTTGGTCCCAGCAGTCCGAAATTTTGAAAATTTCTACTTTTTGTAAATAATGAGGGGGGCTGGGTCACTTACAAACATTTCAAAGATATCTTTAAGATTATTTTTGTAGCCAGATAAATCTTATTTAAGATTATATTTTGTTTTATAAAAAATGAAATGAAATGGTCAGCCCTACCCATTTAAAGACATGCTGTGTATGTGGGGGGGGGGAGTTAAATTTTTTTTTACAATTTTAAATAAAATTTTTTTTTACATTTGTATTTATTTTTTAAAGAAAAGTTATTTTAAAGCTTTCGACCAAGATTTTTTTTCTGTTGTCTGAAATTTTAGACGATGATCTGCAACAACCAGTAAATTAGCTTGGTTATCTTCTTCATTTCGGAAAGTTTCAATAAAGTCTTGACCAAGTTTAATTGCATGTTCTGCACTGTCATTTACAACAAGAAGACCAGTGATATGATTTTTAAATCTTATATAACCTGAACATGTTTCCCAGTTTGATGAACTGATTTTCAGCTATTCTGTCTCAAGTAATGTCATTTTAAGTAATTCAAAGAAAAACCAGCTTTCAGGACCAATAAAATCTTTAATTCTTTTTGTTATTTTTTTTTTCATTGTCAGTAAAAATTTCTGAACTTAGTTTTCCCATTTTATAACTGGTAGGCTTTGCTGTTTGAGCTAATTTAAGAGCTAATTTATGTAGCTGATCTACAGGTAAGCATTTATCAGCAAGACACATAACCACAAATCTTTCATTTAAATACCAATTGTGTTTTTCAAGTGACTTTAGTACGACCTCTGCTGGTTTAAGACATAATTCAGAATATTGTATTATTTCATTAATGGCTTTTAGATCTAAAGAAGGTGCTATGGCAGGGATAGGAGTTTTAATAAACCATGGAACATAAAATAGTGCTGTAAATGAACCAATTTCATGAATCATCTTTTCATCTTGTAATGGTATTATATCAGGACATAAGTTACTGAATTGTGGCTGTAGAATGTCGTATGTTAAATTATAAACGCCCTGTGCCATAAACCTGGCACGATGTGAAGCCATTGGAAATCTAAAGTGAAAATCTTTTACTTTGCCACCTAACCAAAGAACTGCTAACTGTATAAAATACTTGTAGTAATTTCTTGGAAATATATCATTATCGAGGCAATTTTGAAGGAATGTTAATGATTCAGAAGCCTAAAATAAAAAATAAATAAAGTTTATTAATAAAACTTATAATCAAACAGATTAATCTAATTAGGACAATCAAACCAACCTGCTTTTCCAAAAAAGATTTTTTTTTTTTTTTCTGAGTCAAATCTCTTTAGGTTATCATAATTTAACTTCTTTTCAAGAATCGATTTCCAATTACACTTTAGCCTTTCAAATGACTCAGTCTTTGGTCCACTTGTTTTACCTCCAGTAAAAACACTTGAAAAGTGCTAAAATATATTTATTTCAAATCACTTAACTAAATTTTAATAATAAGGTGAACCGTTATTAAATTCATCGAGAAATATTAAATAAATAATTAAATATAAAAATATTTTATGACTTCTTTTCAATATTTACCTTTATATGTAATTCGTAGACATGATGACGACGACAGTGGCGGACTGGCTGTATATATATTACCGGCAAGGCCTTCTTAAACAGGCCGCGACAGCTCATTAAAATTAGCGAAGGCCGATTTTTTTACGGAGAAGTATAGTTTCAATGAGGATTTTGGTTGTTTAATTTAAACTATAATAGTTAAACTTGTAAAATGCCTAATAAATGCTGCGTTTATGGTTGCTCCTCAAATTACAAACAAAAGTAAAAGATAATGTTTATGTCACAATGTATAGATTCTCCTTTAAATCCGAGGATCGCGAGTTATGGATTAAAAAACTTCCAAATGCAAACTTTGTGTTTACAGATTTTAGACGAATTTGTGCTCAGCACTGGCCTAAAAAAAAGGTGGTAGTTTTGTTCCAGTGCATCCTCCATCAGTCTTTAAAGGTATACCAGTGTCTTGTATTCCAATAGTGTCTAGAAAACGAGATGTCACTGGGTTGATATGACTGGGTTGATATGCTCTGAAAGAAATAATTTACCTGATGAGTTCGAAAACTTCAAAAAATGGACGTTATTCAATTTAATACAACTGTAAAAAATTTGAAGTCAATAATAAATTACTGTGAAGAAAAATTTTATTTTGTTGAAGAAGAAAAATATATATCTTTAATATCATATGAACGTTGTGGAATAGTACCTAAGTTTTCAATATATATAACTTCAGAAGATTATGGAGATATTTATTTTACTGGATATAGCCAACTTTTACAAATTAAACTGTCTTTTTTAAACAAAGGAGTTATTAAATATTATTCTCAACTGGAGAATGCTGTTAGTTATGTTATTAATAATGAAACAGATTCTAAGTGAGCAAGTTATATTAGGCATCAAGTAGCTTTATTAAATAAAACAAACAATACACCATTAGCACTATGCTCCTTTGTCTTTTTGGTGGCCCACGACTTGTTATAAAAGTTTTTCCAGTTTGTAAAGTTACAACAAATTTTCAAACAAGCGTGATAGAAGAATTAAATCAACAAATCATAATTGCAGGTGGAAAGCCTCTTGGGTTAATAATGGATAACTGTCAAGTAAACCAAAAAACATTTCAATATTTTAATGCAAAAAAAGTTCCAGCATACTATCTTTTAAATGACACTGTGCATATTTTAAAATGTATTGGAAATAATTGGATCACTGAAAAATTACAATGTTTCAGTTAATGATTGGCAAATAGATTTCTTAGAGAACTATATTTCGTATTTTGCTGAAAATTTGAAATGCGTAAGTTCAAAATTAAGAGAGAAAAAGTTAACAATGGATACTGCAAGTGCTTTGCAAAAAACTTCTAAAAGATTAGCAAGCTGCTCCAAGTATTTGTTGAATTGCAGTGTATCTTATGTATTGTTAGGACATATGCAATCAGATGCACTAGAAAAACAGTTTAGGAAATATCGGCAAGGGTCAGGTGGCACATATCTGATAACGGTGCAAAATGTTATTCAAAAATTTAGAATCGACAAAACTAGAAAGTTGCTAGCATGCATACAGATTTTACAATATTTCCTCCTGCTCACCACCACTGTGATAAGTGTGAACTTGATGTGGAGTTTATTATGTCAATATGTGAAAATTGTGAGGATTAGTTGCCAAATGAATGCAATCAAGGACTTTTATATATTGCAGGTTTTATTGCTTACAAACTTCCAGAATTACATTCAATTTTAGAAGAAACAGACAGCTTTGATTATGTTTCAAAAATATGGAACTTTGATCATTTCTTTGAATAGGGGAAGACTAAGAGAACCTTCTGACAATTTAGTCTACTTTGTTTTTTATTGTTTTTTTATATTTGAAGTGACACTTGTGAATAAAGTTTCACCATTGCTGTGCAAGAAAGGATTAATTGACATTTTTATTAACTGCAATAGTAAATTTCAATTGCTTGTTCAAAGTGTTAAAAAAGTTTGCTGCATTTTGGCAAACATTTTTTTAAACAATTATTGTAAAAAACACTCTGAAGATTTTGGGAAGGAATGTTTAATAAAACAAGCAAAACTTTCAACTTCAAAATAAAATACTTTGAGTCAAAAAAGTCAAAATAATTTTAATAAAATAAAGTTAATATATTTGCTTGTTTTTATCAAAAAATTTATTATTTGTATTACAAGTGTTAAACAGCTAAAATAAACATATAGTTATAAAAACGAGATTTAGTCATTTTTAGCTAAACTCCTTAAATTTTTATTGTAATTAACTTATTTCTAAACGTAAAAAAAATTCCTACAATATTTGCTTTCGAAATTCAATCAAAATGTTTTGTCCTAATAAAGCTCTTTATTTGTTTCTGAAGTTTGTTTACAAAAGCAAAGATAAAAAATAATTTTAACCGTAAAAAAGTCGGCATTCGCTAATTTTACGGAAAATGAGCTGTCGCGGCCTGTTTAAGAAGGCCTTGATTACCGGCCATGAAATTAATTAAAGGGCCCTCCCGGCCATACATAAATCGCAAAGACTGTCCGGTCCGCAACTCTCTAAAATAAGTCTTAAGAGGAGCAATTAAATCACAGATTAATAAAATTGTATTGAATTAAAAAAGTAGAAGTGATGTGCAATTTGCACAGTGCAAAGTATAGCAATAACTATTCTTTAAACAGTTTGCTCAATTCAGAGGACGAAGATGCATATCTTTGAATGATCGTATCATACTCAAGGCTATCAAGTAGATTTTTTTCTACAGACATCAACATATACGACTCTAAGTGGTCATTTGACATAGAATTACACAATCTTGTCTTGATTAACTTTAACTTAAAAAACCATCTTTCATATTCGGCTTGTGTTGCAGAAATAATACATATCATTTTATAAATATGATACAAATTGTCATAGGTTTTGTCGTTGAGTCTATATGCAGCAAGAATTCGTAACACACAAGATGGACACGATCCGCATGCTTCATTTGTATGCTGATAACAGAGCGGTTCTTCTATGTCATCCTTTTGATATGCATTCTCTTTCAATGTTGTTGTTAAGGGCAAGGACAATTTCAAAATCTCATAGTTAGTGGCAAATGATAACAATTCGGTCTTTATTTTATTAACGTCGGCATCTAGTAAAAATTTGATAATGCTGTGTAAACTGTTTTCAGGAATTCCCGAAATAGCAAGATCACCAAAGTTTGATATATCAAAACATGCCATGTCCATATATAATTGTCGATGTGAAGTGAAACGTGACTCAAGACTTTGGACTACCTGATCCATCACCACATTGTAAGTGTGAATTTTGTAGTGTTCCAAAGCTTTAGATTCGTCACGTTCGTCTACTGTATGTTCATCTAACATCGTTGGTGTCTTCCACCTCCGTTTAACTGGTAGTTCTATCTTTACCTCTAATATGGTTTCATTCAATTTTTGCCATTCGTACAAATTGAAGAGCGTTATTATGAACATCATCAAAAAGTCTTGATTGACTTTTCAATTCAATTACGGCCTTCTCCACCATCTTTGGTCCCACTTTTTCAAAAACTCGCAGGTAGGTAATGGCAGTCAAAATGGTGTCAAATTTCAGGAATGGCATTAGCAATGTCTTAGCTTCATGACGTGTCTTTGTATCAAATTTTTTTGATTCGCTTATACATGACAGACATAAAATTAAATTGACAAACACTGTTGAAGATGGCTCAGCAAATGTTCCAAATATCGCTGTTGCAGCATTTGATTTACCCGATCACCTTGTTTCACCAATCAATTTCAATCTTTTCATCTTATCCATTCCAATTTGTGTTTCAACAAGTTTAATCCATGTTGCCATTCGCTTATATGACAATTTTATGAATGTTGAAACATTTTGCAAAAGGGTAAAAAATGAAACTGCCTGAATGCAGCAACTGGTTGCCTCCTTCACAACTAAGTTGAGAACATGAGCATAACACCAAATATGTACATGGTGGTCTGCAGCTTCTGTAATCTTTTGTTGCAGTCCATTGTACTGGCCATGATAACTTGAAGCACCATCAGTGCTGTCCGATAGGCAGTATTTCAAGTTAAAGCCAAGCCGCTGTAGCGTCAAACTTACGAGAACGAACAAGCCTTGGCCAGTACCGTCATTGCTTGGTACAATAGAAAGCAGCCGTTCATACACAGTAGCATCTAAAACATAGCGAACCACAATGCTGAATTGGTCAATTGCAGATATATCTTGTGTAGAATCAACTTGTACGGAGTACACTTTTGCTTTGGATACTTCCATTGCAATCTGTTCCTGCTTCATATTTTTCATAATATTGAGAAGCATTAATATAGTAGTCTTACTTAAAAACGTAACCAGAGCACCGCGACCTTTACTGCCGGCTTTACCTTGACGCTTCAGTTTTTCTATTTTTTTGGTTGATTTCTCTTGACACATGGAGAGATGAGAAGCTAAAAGTGGGTCATATTTGGCCAAGAGCTGTACCAAAGCCAAAAAATTTCCATGATTTTCTTCATCATTGTCCAACGAAAAAGCACCTTCATTCCTATGACCTCGAAATGGCAATGTTTGCTTAGATAAATGTTTAATGATATCAATAACTTGAGAAAGTATTTGTTTCCGTATCAGTACTTCATCATTATATTTCTTTATTGCTGTACTATAAAATCTGTCAAAGTCTTGATTATTCATTATACGAATGTAATCAAAAACATGCCTGCGGTGAGTGCTGCTTGATTCGTGTTCTGCAACCCGTTGGCTAACTCGTCTAAAATCTTTGAAGCCAGACACAAATGATGAAACGGTGTTAGACTGTGGTGATTTAAATGCAACACAAAATGAGCAATATAGAGACATTTAGAATTTTGGATAAATGACAACCAATTTCTCGGTATGCTATCCTTCAAGTCCGTTTGTCTATGGTAGATCTTGTTATCAAACGGCAAATGTTCATGTGGTTGAATTGGATGTTTGCTAAAAAAACATTTTAACTGCAAACGTGGTGGATATTCAAATGCTGATGTACTCTGCGAATTCGACTCAATATCTCCACTACCTCGAGCTTGTATTATTGCTGATACTCTTCAAATTCGACTCAATATCTCGACTACCTTTTGCTTGTATAACTCCTGATGTACTCTGTAAATTTGACTCAAGATCTCGACTACCTAGTGCTTGTATTATTGCTGATGTACTCTGTGAATTTGACTCAATATCTCCACCACCTCGTGCTGATATTATTGCTGATGTATTCTGTAAATTTGACTCAAGATCTCGACTACCTAGTGCTTGTATTATTGCAGATGTACTCTGCGAACGTGATTCAATATCTCCACCACCTCGCGCTAGTATTATTGCTGATGTACTCTTCAAATTCGACTCAATATCTCGACTACCATTTGCTTGTATAATTCCTGATGTACTCTGTAAATTTGACTCAAGATCTTTACCACCTCGTGCTTTAATTATCTCTGATGTAATTTGTACATTCGACTCAATATTGCCTTGACATTGTGGTTGTACTGACAAAAATGATGTGATTAACTTGCATATTTTTGCAGAAACTTCTATATCTGTCTGTAGTTTTTCTTTGCGCTTTTGTGCTCCGGATTTTGACATGATGATAGTGACCTGAGTTAAGATTTTAACATTTAAAAAATAAAGCAAAAATAAAGATCGTCTCCTTTTAGAAAAAATGATATTTAGATCTCCCCAAATAAATTTTGTCCGATCAAATTTGTTTGAACGGCGAAAATTGCAAATCAAACATATTAAAACTCAAATAAAGACAGGCCACTAATGACATATTTTTGGTAAAGAAAGGGGGGCAATGACTCCTTAGCCACGGCACTAATTCCAGTATATTTTAGAATCTTAACTAAAGCTATAATTTCCAGATCTGTGAAATTCTTGTATTCTTCTTTTATATTATGACTTTGCTTACTGCTGGAATTATTTAAACTATTGCATTTAAACATTAGAAAATTCATTATAGATGAATTTTCTATTGTATTCCTTGAAGGAAATAGAAGGAAAAGAGTAGCAACTATCAACTTATCCTTTTATTTTAGTACTTTAACTTGATAGGTGAAGAACATTACTTATGTTTATTTATGAAAAAGATTATTAATGAAAAAAAAACATGTTTTAAAGAAATATTTTGGATTAGACATTTTATAGCAGTTCTTACTCTCTTGATCTATAATCATGTTTAAATTAATGAATTTTTAAATTTTGTTTATAATTTTTTTTACAATTTGAAGCGACAGAACGAAATCCTAAAGAATTTCAAATATAGGCTTAATAAAAATCTAAAATTCTGTTTAAGCAAAAAAGATATATACATACTTTTTTCTTTCAACACAAACAGAAGTAGCTGTATTAAAAAAAACCTTTTCATGTATTTTATCTCATCCTAAGTTATCATTGTCAAAGTTTAGGATTTTGCTAAAATTTCCGATTTAAGTTTTACTAATTTGCCCTAATAGGGCAAATTAGTAAAACTTAAATCGGAAACCAGCATAGTTAAACTACGCTGAGGTACTTTAAGCTGACTAACACAAAAAGTGTTATTTATGTGTTACATAAACAGTAATGCTTATAAAAAGTTACAGAAAACTTGATCATCCGGAAATTTATTTAATCCTCTACCTTTCAAATCTTATCATTTCAGCCGATTAGTATGATCAATGATCACCTTTAAATAATTATTTCGAGCGCTGAAGTTAACTAAAAGTTTTAGATTAAAAAAAGATAATAAATTTTATACAAACTAAAATACCAACCTCAAAAGAAGACTAACATCGCTTCAGTAAACTGGTTGATCAAGAGTGTTTTTGTGTTGAACTATTATTTTTTTAATTTTGAAATGAATATTTAATTCATTTTTTAATTAATTTAAGCACCGCAATTGCAATAATAGTTATAAAGTCAATTCCCTTAGGAAAATTATTGATTATATGTGTATCTGAAAATCATTAACAATTGCAAAACCTTACCAATTCCCTTATGACGATTATATGTAAAACTCTTCTTCGACAATCAATAACGATTGTAAAGTTTTACAATCATTATTGATTGTCAAAGGAGAGTTTTACATGAAATTAGTTTTACAGTAAACTATTTCTTTAGAGAATTTCGCACTTAATAGAGTTGAGTAGTAAATACAAGAAATTAAAAATAGTTTAACTTTATAATTAATTGTAATAATTATATATATATATATATATAATATATATATATATATATATATATATATATATATATATATATATATATATATATATATATATATATATATAGGTTATATATATATATATATACTACCTAATATATATACTATATATATATATATATATATATATATATATATATATATATATATATATATATATATATATATATATATATATATATATATATATATATTAAGGGCCCACCGTTATATATATTTCAAGGGGCCCACCGGCAAAATGGCCGGTGGGCCAGTCCGCCACTGATGACGACAAGCCATCCAAATCAAAGCTTTTCCTCTCCACTGCTCAATAAGAGTACAGACTCTTTCTCTTCGTTAAGAACAGAAAGAGTCTGTACTCTTTCTGTTCTTAACGAACAGAGTTAACATTCTTGAAAAAGTTTCTCTTTTTAAAACTAAATTTTGACTTAAACGTTTCCTGTGTTTGTTTAAATCTTTTCTCTTTTTTTCTAAGTCAACAATCTTGTCTCTAAAACAAAAGTAAAAGAATGCATTAAAACTGTTGTAATTTATTATAAATATATAAAATGTTATGACTTTATAATTGTTACTTGTATAATATCAATTTTAAACTGGATAAAACTGAAAATTAAAAAGCATTTTAATATAATGAAAACCTGATATGCTTGTCCGTATTAACAAAAGGAATTCCTGCTTTTTGCCAAATTTTCTTCACCTCGTAAAGGACGCATGGTAAACATTTTTGGAGACAACCACCTATTTCAGCACATCGTGCAGTAAAGAAATCACCAAGTGGACATGAAGCTAACTGATGAAATGTTTGGAAAATCAGCTCTCAGCTCTTTATTGTCAACAAAAATAATAAACACAACTGAAATGTTTAAATTTTTTCTTTTCATAAAAGAAAAAATTTAAAAATTATGTCATTCATACTAGCTATAAAAAATGGTTGCGTTGAACCAATACTAGCTATATAAAAAGCTAAAAAACACAATTTTCTTTTAACTAACAAAAATGCCCAAGTAAAAAAAAAAAGACATCACTTTTAAAAAGATTTAAATGCAAGTAAACTAAATTTCCATAAGGGACTAGAAGTGAGATTTAACAAACATCAATTTGAAGAACTATGGAGCTTTGTTTTTTTTTTTTTTTTTTGTTTTTTTTTATGTTGATTTTAGGTGCCCCAAGAAGTCCTTACGGTCTTATCACAGAGCACCGCGGAAGAGCATTTAATAGGAAGTTCACGCCTCTTTCCCAACCGATGTCGCAAAACTTGCCCAGAGGTGGGGTTTGAACCACGGATCTTACGTTTCTGAGGCAAGTGTGCTACCACTGCACCACGGCTGCTTTAAATTCAGCCTATGTTTATCACAAAATTCAGTCTACGTTTATCACAAAAACTTGTTTATCAAAAAAAGTTGTTTCACTTCTTTGTAAAAAAATCCCCAGTTTTTTGAAAATAAACTGTATTAATAAGTCAAAATTTCTTTCAAGAACTTTAAGGTTAATAGCTTAAAGTTAACTTTTACTTTAGTATTTTCTAAGCACAAGATTCTTTAAAAAACTCTCAAAGAAAAGCCAAGACCTTTTAGATTTATGATGTAAATCTAATTCTTTATATAGACTGTAAACACAGACTTTCAGTTAATTTTATTTTTAGGAAATGGTGAAAGGTACTGAAACTTTAAGCATAATAGCAAGTGTTCTCGCATCTTTAATACATCGAAGTTTGTCATTATTGCTGGTTTACCTGCTAATATTTCGGCTGCAAAGGCAACAGCAAACAGGCCGCAACTGTTATCGTCAGTCTGTTTTTGTACAGGAAGAAAGTTTATAAGTAAATCTCCATTACTATCAGCATTATTTTTATATATAGAATTGACACATTTTAAAGAAACAAGGTTCAGTGATGTATAAAGACTATCACAAATATTGACTTTTCTATTTGAGCAAAATGTAAGAAACCAATGACATGAGCCATTATGCATAAGTTGAATGTGTTCATTATTGACTGGCTGGTATGGACTATTTGAACATTTTTGAACGTTTAGTTCTGATTGGAATTTTGCATTTGGTCCCAGCTGTTTACAAATGAGCATTTGGGCAGCATCCATGATGCTCTCATTTAGCCAGGAGTTATGACTTAACAAAATCTGTTTATCTTCTGTTTTAAGATAATAAAGATTTGGGAAATCTAACCATGGAGGTTCAGGTTTCAAGTCCTCTTTTGCATTAACTGATATAATTGTCTGATTTGATTTCCAAAATATTCGCTCAATTGTAAACCAAGAGAGTTTTTCTGCACAAATAACAATCCATGCTAATTTTCATTTACTATCATTAATACTATTGTATAAGCTGGTAGCAATTGCACTACAGGATCCAAATATCTTCAATAACCTTTGAACACTTACCTTTATTATATTTTTATATTGCATTAAACTTGAAAACTCGTGATTTCTGAATTTAAGGAAAATACGAGGAAGAAGAAACTTCTTTTTCTGTTGCAAAATCTCACTAAATCTGATGCACGTACAACTCAATGAATGATATGTTTCCGTAAGATTATTTGAAGTCTGTACTGCATTTATCAATATCATTTTAACAACTTCATCAGATAATATGCACTATAAACTTGTAA